CCCAGTCAGTCCAAAGGACGAGTTTAACGCGGCCGGTCCTTTATTCTAAATGACTAAAGGTATCAAAAAACTCATACCTTGAACATAGTCAAAAGTTTCGCACCGTAAGATCAACAGCAGCCACATAGAGCGGGAACACTCATGAGAAAAATTGGTCTCTAAATCCAAAACCATTCTTTTTGCATTTTTTTGCGCAAACCTGATTTTGCGGGTTTTTTACGGCCTTTTCACAGGGTTTTCACTGGCTTTTCATGGCCTTTTCACGGTTTTTTCACGGTGTCACTATTTTCGCAAATCTAGAAGTTGCGCCCTCAATTTTTCAAGCAATTGGATATCTTTGGGTGGGGGGGACCTTGCCCGGCTAAATCTCACAAAAATACGACTTCAAAAATAATCGCATAGAGAAAACCTCAGTCCTAAAAGCCTATAGTTGAACCAGGCCTTTGGCAAGGGCCTAGTTTAGCGAGGACTTCGACCGACAGGGTTGTTTAGGGTTTGTTAGGGTTGGTTTAGGGCTTAGGGTTTATTTAGGGTTGGCTATAAGGCACCGTAAACGCACCGTAAACACAGCGATCGGCGTAAACACAGCGATCGGCGTAACAGCGTATCGGCGTATTTACGCTTACGGACCCCGATCCCCAACCCGCTGATTCATACACCTTTGGAGTTCCATGTGTCTACTTGTCAGTATCCAACAGGTGCGTAAGCCTTGTGATAGTCAGCGCTCGAGGCACACTCCAATCCCTCGGGCTCAAATTTCTGTGGATTTAACCAACACATATGGGGAAATGATGAGGATGTTTCTGGTTTTATTGGGATATGTGACTTCATCATGGGATAATGATTACACTTTAACCAACAACATTTATGGGGGTATACGGAAATCATCGTAGACATGAAGCCACCTTGCCTCGATCATTAATGTTGCCCGTGAAACATTACCCTTTAACTTGATCAGCAGTTCTGCCATCGAACATTATCCATGAAAATAGATAACTTATCTATTTCCATGGCCATGTTCCATGGTTCTGTTAGTTTAATATAAAACCAACTACATGAGAGGTATTTCAGTGTTTCCTAATAATTCGCAGTATATTTTGTGGAATATAAATTCGCAACTGATCTTCGGGCGACCCAAGGCTTCCCCATTTAAAAGAAGGCCACGACCTGGCCCAGTGGACTTACGGTTGGCCTCACAGAATCTGGCACCGCAAAGATACCATCTGGTTATGACGTTCACAGTTCGCCATGGGATTTCGCCATGGCCCTAATCGAAATAGATGGTAAACACTGTTCTTAAAAATGGGTGGTGATTTTTCATGGCAAAGTGTGAATGTCATACCCAGATGGTTTTTCGAGGTGATTAACCATTGATTTTGGTATCTTCCTTTCTGGCTAACTTTTCATGATTTATGTTTGGAGGGGTTCTGGGAAGATTTTTCAAAACTGCAGCTGCGAAAGAGACCGTAGGTGCTTAGGACGCGCACATCACGACATCACGACTGGGCTTAAAGCTGACTGCTGCTGAAGCACCCAAGCAGAATTTGCAATTTTTAGCACCTGGGGTTTGTGATTTGCAAGGATATATCACATGATGATATCACATGGCATCAATAAATAAAATTCTTTGCTGGTTTCAAACATTTGGCGAAAGATAGAAAGAATAATGGGGACGTGCCCGCAGATATAGTACATGGTGACTCGAACTTCTGTGATAAGCTTTTTGTGACTCGTTGCTGAATTGCAGTTATTTTTTTGGCTGTGACTAGAGGAATATGCACTATAACTATGGAAAGATCCACCATTTTTAATGGGTAATTCCACTATTTGGACTGGGCCATTTCCACAATGTAAAGATCGAGTGTTTGGAACTGGCGCTGGTCGCGTTGTTCAGCTGTGAGCTGATCTTCGCTGATCTTGTACCTTCCAATGATGATTTTATACATTGGGATGGTGTTTTTAGGGGAAGGCATTGCATAATTTTTATGATTCTAGTAACATCTAGAAACTAGAATTTACATATTTAAGTTACAAAAAGTATATATATATATAATTAGTGAGTTATCTAATTACATGATATTCGAACTATAATTACATAAGTTATATACGTAGTATATATGAGTTCGATCATACTCAGTGGATCTCAATGGTGAAAAATGATCATCCCATCATGGAAATCCCATCGGAAATCTTCATTTGAAAAGACACAGCCACGATAGAAAACCATAGTTAAAGCATGTTAAACCACGTATAAGTCACATGAACCATAGTTAAACCACTGATAAGTCACATAAACCATATTTCTGGGGAAATTTCATCACGACCTCACTGTTCTCCCTCACTGGAAATCATAGTTAGTAGGGGAAATGATCCCCAAATGGCCGCAAGATTCAGGTTAGTGAATTTTTATAATTTACCCAGATTATATATTTTTTCATATAAATGATAATCTGGTTGGTGGTTTCAAACATTTGGATTATTTTCCATTTCATATATAGGATGTCATCCTTCCCATTGACGAACTCATATTTTTCAGATGGGTAGGGCTCAACCACCAACCGATAATCTAAATATGTATTTTTTTTCTTTCTAAACACACCGTCATTATAAGTTTGACTGTAGCAATAGATGTTATTGTGGACTTGCACCTCTAAGTTTCCATCGTCTTTCCATGGCCATGGCCAATGCGCGGTGCGACTCATCCTCCATCTGGAATTTTCTTCGGATCCATGGAAACAGCAATGGGATATAGTGAGGGAAGAACCATATGAAATATAACCTCTGGTAATTTGTGACATAGCTATTGAAAATGGCCATGTATAGTGGATTTACCCATTGAACATGGTGATTTTCCATAAGTATGTAAACGTTTGCCAGAGGGTAGATGGAACATATGTGGAAACTATATGGAAACTATATGGAAAATATATGGGAACATATATGGGAACATATATATGTAGCTTAAAATTCTAGTCATTTCCCTCTTTGCTATGGAACATCGCTATTAAGTTCCATGATTTCCCGATTCAAAACAATGATTTTCCACTTCACAAACTGGTGCACAAATTCCCAGAGGGTAACGATCATGTATATATATATATACATATCCCACTAAATCCCATTCAAATCCCATAGTCGCAGCAAATCCCTACTAGATACCATGAAATCCCATAAATTGCTGGTGCCCTTCCACTTGTATTGTATCATGATAAAGATGCTGGGTTTCTGCAGGAACGCTCCGCCCGCCTTTTTGTGATGTCTGGCACCAATTCTCTGCCAATGTGGGAAGGTTGATCACACGAAAGGAAGGGGCTGAAATTAACATGGGTTAAGCAAAAAGAATGATTTCCCAAGCATAAATGCCGCGGGATTTCTTGAGATTTACAACAAGAATAGGGATTGATGGTATTCACCAAGCAAAACAGGGACAAATGCGATATCGAACCAAGTTTAATCTGAATTTTGGCGTGTCAGAAAATGGGGACTCCTTCGAAATGATTAAGAGGAACAGGAATGATTGTCCTATTTTCAGACAAATCCGTTTCAGGGAATATCATGATGGATCGCAAGAAATGGGTTTTCACCTTCGCTCGTGAGTAGTCACCTGCGCTCCTCAAAAGCTGCGGTTCTGGAGCATTGGGCACCTCAAAGGAATTCCTAAAGTAAGTCTTGTCGCTGCAGGATTTTTCGCAGATCCTATTTTTTTTTGGAAACTGATCCACCATGGATTTTTGGAGACAGTGACACTGACAGTGCTACTTTCTCCAGAGCATGAAAGGATCCTCTTGGCCCATCTGCGCAGCTTTTTTCAAATCCATTGGAAGGACAATCCTCAGGGCTAGGTCAATCTGAAACATGGATACTTTAATCCTTTAGTCTTTTGGTATTTTCATGGGAATATCTACGTTCACCAGCATTCAGAATTTCATTTTTTGCAGGGTATCTGGCTGATTGGCAATGATGGCTATATTCAAGCTTCTCATGTGTCGTGTAGAGGAACATATACAATTACTCTCTCGTAATCAGCTCCACGGTTTGCTGGAATATCCCCTATTTACTGGTTGGTGGTTTGGAACATGTTTTTTCCATATATTGGGAATAGTAATCCCAACTGACTTTCATACTTTTCAGAGGAGTTGAAACCACCAACCAGTTTAGTTTGACAAATACCATATTTATAGTGGATGTTCAACTGCCAGGTTTGATTAGCAGAGGATACGTTTCGAAACTGGAGGCTAACGTCGTCAAATATTTCTGTGGAAATTCAGCATGTCTACTTTAATAGGTAGATCCACACTATTGGTATAATTAATGGGCATATCATGCGATGTATTTGATGTGAAACTTGAGGCATCCAAGATTGGCCATGTACGGTGAATCGATGCTGTGAATTATGGTGTTTATCTTGTTTTATCTTGTTCGAAATTTGATGGAGGTTTTTTTTAAATCATACCGAGCGAAAATATCTAATAATGTATGAGTCATTATGAGTCTATGACTCTGATATCAAGATCGATTCAGTAGGTACTTCTAAGATTAATCATCGAAGGTCATTTGATTAAGTGTAAGATTCAATGTTATTCTTTGCCGACCTTCCTGATTTTGGCATTTCGATCTTGCCTGACCCAACGAACGTTGGGCATGTCTTAGCCAATCAACGGAGAGTCTTCGCCCCATGTGGGGCTTGTGGCTGATTCAAGGCTGAAAATGTGGCGCTGCACATGTGGTTTTTCATAAAACCAGAACTGTCAACAATCTCAGATACCCTCTGGTTATTTAACATAGCCATGGGAAATGGCCCATAGAAATAGATGGTTTACCGTTCTTAAAAATGGTGATTTTCCATGGCAAACTGTGAACGTCATAACCAGATGGTAGTTCCAATGAAGGTTTTTCCCTGCGATTTTTTTTTCCCCTGCGAGTTTAGTAATGCCCGGGCTATCAGGGAGCCTCCACTTGACCTTTTTCAAGAGAACCCAAAGCTTTGGAAACTCTACCAGGAGATGCCGGTGTATGTGCCAGATGCCCCACACCAACAGAGCTTGCTGACGGAGGCACTGGGTTTTCTCCATGGCAGACATCGTGACTAAATGCGGGTTTCAGCGCGAACATAATCTATATAAATGGTGGATTTCAACTGCCATCTTCGTTTGCGTACTATGCCCTAAATCAGCAATCTTTGTGGAAATAGATATTAATTATAAACATGAGGGTGTCAAGTATAAAGTGAAACGGGATTTCGCATTTTGAGGCCACTTTTTTTTCAGATTCAAAGTCGCCATAGCACTGGGATAAGAAGAACAGCAACTGACATGGGGCTTCCAATGAATCTACTGTAGAGAGCAGACATGGGGACAACACAGTAATTAATAATCAATTGGCTTGTCTAAAAACGAGGAATGAGATCGCATATAAAATGGCAATTTCAATGAGGAAATATAGGTTCTTAACAAAGGTAATTTGTGGCTTCTACAATTCGAGATAAAGTTGAACCAAGATGATACAGGGTGGCCCTCCCAGTGATGTTTTTTTTGCTTTATAACCCAATAAACTACACTATAGTTGTTATTACTATCTACCGTAAACCATAGTTGTTGGACTTAAAAACGCACGGATCTCGGGGTCAGCACCTTTTATGGAATGTGAATTTAGGTCCGTCATATTTCATACGCGCATGAAAAACTACAGAGAGAGGAAAGGATGTATCCAACAGCAGATTTAAGCAATCGGAAGTCCATGGATGATTAGCCTCGTGTAAACGTTTACATAGATGTGGAGCACCCACAATAGATGATTTTCCTAGGGAAACCATTGGTTTTCCACATCTTTTTCGAACTGTTCACCCCCCCAAAAAAAACAGTTCGTTGTATCCAGTTATGACCAGCGAGGAATAGTCGACCGTCGCCAACTGGAAGAAATGGGTTTTTCCACATCACGCCGTGTGAGGCATATCCCATCCAATGCGTCGTGCAGTTGCTCTGCTTCGCAGGGGAGAGAGGAGAAAAAGTCATGGCAAACGTTTCAGGGGTCCCATTTATGGGTTTTGGTCCACGGATGGCAATGAAGGGGAAATATGATGATTGAGTATTTTTTGGGGTGCAATATGGTATAATTAAACTGTTTTTGGATGAATCCGTATTGGTTTTTGTCATTGTTTACCTATGTTGATCTGAAAATTTGATATTGATGGTGTTTGCATCATTTGGAGATATACCATGATATACCCCACTTTCAGACAAATAATTACTGCAGACTGTACTAATACCGTATTATATGACATATATGACCTGTTTGTTTGGGTTGTTAAAGCATTACCACGTTCAAAACAATCAGCTTCAGAAGGTATATTTGAATGTTGTTTAAGCCTCCAAGATAATACTTGTTTCAACCAACCGTTGAGTGATGTTGAGCGGTTTGAGGGTGGCCTGGAATCTAATCATTGCATTAAACAGTGCCATTAGATATGTTTCGTTGCTATTTATACATTATGCTTGTCAGAAATTGTCATTGGTGGGTTCTGATTTAAATGGCATTGAAAGGAACAGGAGCTGTCATGGCTGACCAGCTTGGCAGCTGCTTGGCAAGCATGATCACACGCCTAAGAATGTAGGCTTCTCCCGTGTGTAAATGGGATGTTGCTACTGGCAGCTTCAAGATCTCCTATCTATATGTGTGATGAACTTCCATGAACAATCCAGAAAGAACTCAACATATTGGCCATAGGCAAAGGGGGTTTGGAGGAGACAACTCTAGCACGACCTGGATGATTCCTGGGATACAACAGCTGGGGTTAAACGGTTAAATCCCAAGATTTCAGCAGAAACAGGCGGAACGTAATATGATATCATGTTTTAATCAACTACATACTCAGACTGTCAGACTGTATGGTTAATCAACTATATGGTTGAACACCAACTCATGTTTTTCATCAACTACAGACTGTACTGCTCACTCATGGTACGTTTCCAACATTACTAGTGACTCTCATGCTAGTTATTAGAAACTCACTCATGCTAGTCAATGTTAAACACCACTGTATGGTTAATCAACTATATGATTAATCAACTATATGTATTACTAGTTAAACAACTATATGATGGTTAAACAATGTTAAACACCACTGTAAATCAACTTGTTTCACAACATGACGAAATTTTGGTCGCCTTTTGGCTGAGGCAAAGCCAGGGAAGTTTCGTGATCCCGGACACGGAAGTGCAGGTCTACAAGGTCTAGTGGTAGCATGTGGTAGCACGCGCCATGGGAACAGGGAAGCAACAAAGTGGGGCTGTCCATCAATAGAGGTGCCCCTTGTTTGATGATCATTTTTCTGGATTTTTCTGGATTTTGGGATGGTTGATTTCCATGGGAACATCCGTTGAACATGGAAAAATGGATGATGACTGGGGGTACCCCATGACTTAGGAAACCTCCAAGTGGGAATGACTGGGGATGGTTTGTACAAATGGTGATTTTGGGGATGGGGACTTGGGGACTGGCACTGCGGCAGGTTTTACCACAAAAAACCCTCCAGGGCGTCATCTTTTGAGACTTCAAGCTGAAACACCGACCATATCCACCATTTACCCTCTGGTAAACATACAAAAAGCTATTGAAGATGGCCATTTATAGTGGATTTACCCATTAAAAATGGGTGGGTTTTCCATAGTTACGTTAGTTTAACAGAGGGTAGTTCGATGGTTGTCCCTGACTGACTCTCCATTTGGTCAGGGGATCTCCCACAACTATGTTTGATTACCGTTCAGGGTATCCCCGGATAGCAATGTCATGTTTACAGCGGGGGTTGACTTGCCGTTGATTTAGTCGCCAATCAAACACAAATGATGGATATTCATGGGAACATTATGAGAATATCATGGGGACAATGTGGCATATAACTTGATATGAGCAACAAATCTGGAGCAATCAACTGGAGGGGCACTAAATTCAGTACGTTGACCTTTTGCCAATAAACAGGGAGGCTCATTATGTGCAATTATTAGTATATCATATTATATATATACCCTCTGGTTATTTGACATAGCCATGGACAATGGCCCATTTATAGATGGTTTACCTATATTAAAGATGGTGATTTTCCATGGCTATGTTAAATAACCAGAGGGTATATATATATACATATACACATTATATATCGAGCCCCTCCAACTACCCATAACATTGGTGTTTTACCCCATCAGAGTACTTTGCAGTTGTTTCGGTATTTGGAGGGTCTAGCTATAAACAGTATACGCACACGAAAACAGTTGGCACAACGTATTTCACAGATCAGCCTTGCCCGAGCGTGCTGGTGAGTTTGGGTGGATCAAATATATGTTTTTCCAAAAAATTGCTACCAGGGTCCTTCTTTTTCATTGGATAAACCAGGGAACTGACTGAACATATGGCTATGGATCAATACCTATAAGTACCATTTTTAGGGTGATGAACATCCATTTACCAGCTATTTTGAGGTTCACCAGGGGTACAAGGTTTTGACCCATCCCCATATGGGTATTTGTCTGAAATAGGGTACCTCAAAGTCCAGTGGCTTGTAATCATATGAAAAATTTACCATGCACATATCGTCTCAAAAAAACCATTTTCAGACATTTCATAATGCCATATGCATGCTTTATTTATTACGGTCCTATGGGGATCTTCCAGTTAAACATGACGATTTCGGATTGCCATGATCAATGACAGAAAGTACCCGCACAAGATCGCAGACCACTTTACAAAGTCGGTGCGAACGTGACAAAACTGCAAGTGATAGGGACTGAAGGACTATCTACTCTGCCGTAGTCGAGCAGCATGCTACATATTGAATGTACGCATATGCATAGGAAAGCTGGGCGTTTCCGCAACCTGACGAATTGCCGTGCTCCAGGTATAGTCCCCTCGTAGCGGTGAGGGCCCCACGCCTGGGATGCGCCCCTTACGAAACCAAAATGTGGCCATGCACTGGCGCTGCTTTGGATTGTAATTGCTGTAGTAAGCCCGGATGGGGCATGGCACTTGGTCGAAAAGAGTGACATGTTACATTTTTATGATCGGATACCAGTCCGTAAAATGGGCCTCCCAATGACTCATGGGCCCTTCTGTGCATCCCGCGGGACCTTTTTTTTTGAATCTCTAGGGTCCCCAACTTTTTTTTGGAAAGGCCGGCCTTTCTCTTGTAGTGACCAACACATTTTGATTTCAGTTAACGGTGGTTTTGAAATATGTCAGATCCTTACATGTATTAGTACGTCTTCAATATATGTCAAATTAATGCAAAAAACAGCATCCAACAGCGCCAACTGACATCAATTTCTGAAGGGACAGCTCGCAGGAAACCTTCGCGAAGATCGGACTGCCTGGCGGCAAGTCCTTTAGCACCACTTCGAAGGTTGGGGGGGCTGGATGATCGAGGTGCCAACAATGGATCCACAGAGCTGCTGGAATCTTTTTTTGAAGGCGGTCTTCCCTAAGACGATGGTGATTTAACCAACAAATCATCATTTCGCTAACAAAAATGCTCATTTAATGGGATATTATTAGGTGGATTCACTGGGGATATCATGGGGTTTGTAGCCAAGTATAGCTAACTTGGTTCACAAGTAAGAAGGATTTTACTAGTGTTTATGGTAGAGATAACGAACTATATAGTGAATGTGGTGTACAAACCAACAATAACAAATTGGGGGCGCCATAGTGTAATTTTTTGATTTTCTTTAAACATGAGTAGGAAGTAGACAAGTAAACAATTCAGTCCCAATTTTGCGCTTAATAACTTAACATTGGGATTTTTTTAAAGTTGTTCGTTGAGGAATTCACTGATTTCACCATCCATTACGTGGATGTCATTAGCAAACATATGGATATGTCACCAAGAGGTTTCGAGGAAAATATGACTCAATCAGTCAAACAGGTGATGCCATGTGGGTATAGGCAAACAGCACATTCCAGTAGTCCAGAGATAAAGGGGTAGATACTGTTGCCTTTCCCAACAGATAGGCAGAACAGGGGTATCATCAAACCAAAATGGTGGGGAATTTGTCTTTTTAATTTCGTGGCTAGCAACCAAAATTTGGAACATCACCCAAGGATTATCATGGACTATCATTATTTATCAGTATTATTGTGTTCATTGTAAACAACTGGAGTATATGCATATTGGTATATAATGTCATATCAGATTGTCATACGGGTCATGATATAGGAATTTCAGCAATATTTAAGATCAATCATGGGGATCTTCGACATTGAATATTTCACTTGCAAAAATGAACAAGTTTCAATGCCAGAAACCATACTTAAACATACTTAAACCTCATAAGGTGGGAATAGGCTCTTTGGGAATTACACCTTCGCCCTGGTCTGGTATTGCTAAAAAACCCCTCATGATCTCAAAACGGCCTTTCCACTCGACCACTTTGTTGCTTTCCATGCCCGTGAGTGGCTGGTTTATAAAAAAATATTTATATTTGGTTTTTGGTCTGTTTTCCCCAGTCATGTGCTTCATATTCTTCGTAAAAATCGTATAGCGACCACGAGACACATTTCCAAATTGGGGTTTCTTGCGTTTAGAGGTTTCCCATTCATTCCCATCGAATTGGGGTTTGCATATTTGTTCATAGATTCTTCCGACATCCCCAGACCGGTCATTGGGAATCATGGTCCATGGTCAGTTCCAAACCATATCATTCAAAGCCGTTGCCCCAGCCCCAACTTATGTTTCTTGGTGTATGTTCACCCCAGGAAAACTATATAAAACTATTATAGTAACTAGCGATATATCTACCATTATCTACCATGATTCCTACTTAGTATGTTTTTCGTTTTCGGCTACCACCTTGCAGGATATGTCAATTCGTTTCCGCGAAGATTTCTGCACTATACCTGGGAGTGTCCCAATGGCTGGTTAATATCCCATCCCTCGCCGGACAGGATGTTTGTCCTCAATTTTTGTGAATCCCATTCCGTCCCATGCTTCAAAGCCTGATTTACCCATAGTCTCGTTGCCATAAGCTTTGTAAAAAATGGATGAACGTGGTACTTATCTTAAAAAAACGTGTATCACTTTATCCTTGAAATTGGTTTCGGATCATTTTCCCCATGTTTTTTCCCCATGATTTTGTACGTTTTGGACATGGTCATCTTGATATGATATAAATCCCCATCCAGGACACGGACGGCAGCAGCATCACGCGACTCTGGCGTTGGGACAAAATCAAGAATTGGAAGGCGCCGCAGAAAATGCAGAGTTTTTACCAGCCAAACATGGCAAGGTGCGGGTTTAACCATGGGAAATTGAAGTGGCAGAAAATGAATTTAAACAAGAACCATGTCTTTTCTTCTTATGGGGGTTTAATCTTTGGATAGATTTGGTAAGCCAACCAACATCTAATTACATATTTTATATATTTTATATATTATATATTATATATATTATATACTATATATATATTTTTTTATATATTATATATACTATATATTATAAATATATATATATTTAATATTTATTATATATATTTAATATATTATTTATTTTATATATTATATATATTATATATAATATATATTTTATATTTTACATAATATATTATATATATTTTAAATATTATGTATAATGTATATATATATATATGATATATTATATATATAATTTATATTATATATATTATATATATGATATATATTATATATATTATATATATTATATTATATTTGTAAAATATATGTTTTATATTTAAAATATATTATCTATATTATATATATTATATATTTTCTTTATCATATAATATATATATATTATATTATATATGGTATAAATTTATATTATATTATATATTTATTTCATATATGTATATATTTTTTAAAATATTATATATAATATATACATTATATATCAAATATATAATATATTTAATCTATATTTTATATTTATAACATATTATTTATATTTTATAGTAGATATATATTATATATTCAAAATTCAAAATATTGTATATATTTTATATTTTATGTATTTTGTATATTGTATATATGATATATATTACATATATTAAATTTATTATATACATATAATATATATAATATTTAAATAATATTTATTGTATATATAATATATATATATTTTTATATATATATTATATTTTTTATATATGATAAATATTATTTATATATTAGATATATTATGTGTATTTTATATTTTAGATATATTACATATTATATATATATTGATATTGTAATTTTTTAATATTTATATATTATATATATATATATTTTAATAAATATATATATATATTATTTTTTAATACATATATATGTATATTATATATCATATTTAAATTATATTTTATGTATATATATTTTTTAATCTATATACTAAATTTAATAATATTTATATATATATATTATATATTATATATTATATATATGTTTTTTTATTACATTTATACTGGATTAAATTTATTATATATATATAGATTAGATTTTACATATATATATTATATTATATATAATATATTTTGTATATATTATATATGTTATATCAATTTTATATATTATATATTGTACAATATTTAAATATATATAAATATTATATTATATAGAGAATATTTTTTTTTAAATATATTATATGTATTATATATTATATATTATTTCTATATATTGTATATATTAAATTATTTTTTTTAAATTAAATTTATTATATTATATATATACATAATATTATATATATTATATATATTATTTATATTTTATATATTATATATATTATATATATTATATGTATTTGATATTATATATATATATATTATATTTCTATTATATAGATATTATATATATATATTATATTTCTATTATATATATTATATATATTTTACATATTATATATATATTATATATTACATATATTATATTTTTTTATTCTATATATATTATATTGTATTTAAAATATATTTTGTATATACTATATACATGTTATATATTTTATATTATCAATATTTTTATATTATATATATTATATATATATTTTTTTAAATAAATTATATATATTATATATTATATATATTATATATATTTTACATATTATATATATTATATATATAATATATAATACATATTATATATATTATATATCTTATATATATTTTATATATCATATATATTTTTATATTATATATTATATATATATTTTATATAAATTATAAATATATTATATTATTTATATATTTTGTATTATATATATTATATAAATTATTTATAGCATATATATGTATATATATTATATTTTATATATAATACTTTTTATATATATTATATATACATGGGCGCTCGGCAGCAACAAAAGCTCCACTCCTGTTGACAAAGAAGGAGGTTGATGAATCGAAGGATGCGTGCACTTTGGGAATCCTTGGTGATGCCATGTTGTTGGCATGTCCTTTTTGCGCTCTTAGCGCTGATCCCAAGGGCTCCAAAAAATGGCAGCGTCTTGATGTGCTGCGAAGTGCATTCAAAAACCTTCGAGAGAAGTTGGCGGCAAGATATTCATAAGATGGTCACGACTATGTTCGCATGATGAGTTTGAGAACGATCATTGGTGACCTGAAACCAACAGGCGCCATGACGCATGTCCTTCTTCGTTATGCGATGCCTATTTTGGTTGGGCAGCATAAACAAGTGTTGAAGTGTTGGTTACTATGCCCAAGTGGACGAGACGACTCCAGGGCTATATCCCCTTGTTGGCAACATTGCGTGCCAATCCAACTGTATGGCATGCGCGATGGCTGCAGGCCAAGCACACATCTGCTTATTTTGATGATGACCTGTTGAACAGTGCCATTACTGAGCTGCGAGCTTGGTTCAATTGGTACATGCCGCAAGACAAACGGAAGTTCCTCGAATTGATGAGACGGTGTGAAGCCTTTCACTAAGTCATCGTCTAATCCGCATGATTTGGGGGTGAGGAGTGGAGCACCACGAGTCCCAGCAGTGTTTCACCGACATGGGGACTTCAAAGCGATCTACCCCTCGGTAAATCAAAGATAGAAATAGGAAATCCCTTATAAATGGAAGTTTTGATATTAAAATAATCTATTTTATTCTAATTTATAAGTCTATAACCATCTATAAATGGTGAATGTGTCATTGCAATGTTTGACTACCAGAGGATATCTGCCATTGAGCTGGGATCATTGTCTATCATCAAACACTCAAATCTTGCATTTGGAAAAACGACATTGGCAAAACAATGGCAGACCCAGTCCCACGGTGGTACACACATAGAGGAACCCATGACTTGTGAGTCATGATGTTGGCAGGTTCAGGATTTACTCCATTTGGGTGGTTTACTCCATTTGAGCCGTGTCTTTGGGAACATGTAAGTGATAAATGTATATAAATATATATATATATATTTATATATATATATATACATATACCCTCTGGTTATTGCGAATAGAGTGTAGGCTACGTGCGATTGTATATTCACATATAATTCGACACTCTAGGATCCAATGCCAAAGGGGTATTTCAAACTGGCCTCTTTGGCTCAAGACCCACTGCAGCACCAGAACAAAGAACTGCCATGCGGAAGCTGCTGCCCGTGTAACGTCATCATTGGAGCATTTACTTCAAATCCAACTACCGGAACATAATCGGACAGGCAATCCCCGATTCTCAGGTTATCAGCCGTAGGACTCCTACGGAGCCTACGAGCGGGTAGCCGCGGGCCTTACAGATGACTGAACAGGATAGCAGCGATAATGCATTTTCTTTTTCTGGACATGCCGTTGCACCAGCTGCCGGCACGCAGTCAAATTCTTCACAGAGTATCGACACTGGTGGAAGCGATGCCTCAGAATTGAGAACAAGCCTACCCAGGCGACCTCTGGTTGCTCCTAGAGGGAGACAAATTTCGACAATGCAAGCTATTGAAGATAGGGACAGCACACCTGGAAAGAGAAGATCATCTGCACGACAATTGTCGCCTCCGATGACTCCAAGGACTAAGGCAAAGACTACGTCGTCGAATCCGCCTTCACCGATTCAGGACGCTACTCCATCAGGCACAGGATCTTATCAGCAAGTGAATGCCCCATCGAGTGGTAGCGACATCTTCACTGCCTATCAGAGTGAATTAGCTGAATACAAGACATCACTGGAAAAGGCCACTGAAGAAGAATCCGTACTTCAGGCAAGATTGACCGAGACGACAGCTTATGCCTATCAACAATTTAATTTCCTGGAAAGCACCACTCATCAAGAGATGATGTCGATGACCGAACAACTCCAGATGCTGAACTTCGAATTACAGGCTGCACAACAAGAAGATGAAGGTGCGACCTACAGGATCGAAGAGTTGGAAAGGCATCAGACTATGTCGAATGAAGCTGCATCTCATTTGGAATTCAAATATTCACGACTACGTTCGGAATTCGATGAACAAATGGGACAAGCGAGCGCAATTATGGTACATGTGGGCGCCGATGCGAACGCTCACATCAATCAACTCAGACTGGAACTGGAGAACGCAGAGATGAATGCCAAGCAGGAAGCTCTAGCGGTCGGCTACGCCAATGATCAAACATGTGCTTTACAGATCGAGATGCTCGAGGTTGCCAATCAAAATCAGACAATGAAGCACACCATGTCCATGAACGTTAGACGACTGGAAACCGAGCTTGATGCTGCTGACATGAGGAGGGATGAGATCATGAAGGAGTTCCGTAGTAACATAAGATCTGAACATGACCGTTATGCAGAATGTGAACATCACTTAGCTTTGGAAGAATCGCAACTTCGATTGCAGGTGATCCACAATGAAAACTTACAATCTCGACTAGCGATTTCTGAGAACAGGGTTTCTGAAGAATCTCTAGCTGAATCAGGCGGCATGCGGGACATGAGGATAATGGGACTACGTTCTGAACTACACATGAAACAAAGTCTTTTAGATCGAATGCAACAACAACTGACTGAATCGAAGAATCAGTATCATGAACTTTCCTGTCAACAAGCCAGAAGATCTTCACCAAGCAGATCACCACATGGAGGGCCTCTATACGAGATGTATATGCAAGCCGTGCGTGAGCGTGACAGCTTGAAAGAATCCAAGGCTGAAGTTGACAAGTTGTACTTGCAGAACAGAACTGAACTCATTGACACTGAGGACCTGCTCAAAGTCTTCCAGCGAAACTTCGATGAAACTGGTAAGAAATATCAAGATGCTCTGAACAAGATCGATCACATGAGCAACAATCCGAATGTGACGAGTGATTTGTTCGACAGTTTGCACAATGAAATCAATGACAGGGACACAGCTATTGCTCGCCTTCATACTGAACTTGAAGCCCAAAAGGATTCTCTTGAGCGTGCTC